CAACACGTACGTACTTCATCAGTTACCCACCCAAAGATAAGGGAATCTTTTTTTAAGATAATATTGGGATCAAAATGAGCTATTCCCAGCGAGCTTGGCCACCAGCAATGATGCATGGGTAGCGTGGGTCCGGCGTCGTCAAGATAACACAAGAGCGTAATAAAACAAGATTTGGAGTGAGAGATGTACCTCTAAATATTTTTAGTTAAATCACATATCTATTGTCACTGCACTATTAAGATGGTAGCACAAGAGCTTAACGACCAATTGAATGAGTGCGCGTGCAAGCAGATTAGAATTTAGACCATTGCAAAGAGGGACAACTGGTGGAGATGAATACTCTATCCGTCCCAAAATCCAAAATATATAGGTAACAATTTATAGCGTTCAAATCTTGATTACAATATATAGTATCCATCTACTTCTTTTAACTCAATCAGTTATAATTGTCTCTCATTAACTTAATTTCTTAATGTAGGAGTACATCCTCTATTTAATTCCACCTAGTTGCTTACTGAACCACCGTGTAGAACTTCATAAGTCATATGTATTTTGGGATGGAGGGAGTTTTCTTGTTTTGTATACTTTCTTACAGTATAAACATCAACTTTATCTTTAAAAGAAAAATTATATGCGAATAACTCTATGAACAGGATCGTCGTGGATCCGACAATGCTTGTGGGAAAATATTACTCTCTCCATTCAAAAAAGAATCAAATACTAACTATAAATCTAAATAAATCTTAGCTATAAATCTGAACGGTTTATTATTATTATTTTTTGAAGAGGGAGTACGTTCATAAAGCAAGTTTGGTTTAAATAATTGGTATAGTCGGGATGCAAACAACTTCCTCTGCAGCCACGTCCCAGATATGATTGACGTGTGGACAAGTTATAGATCCAATGGCTCACTCGTCTCGGCTTCAGCCAGGTGCAATGAGAACACAAGGCTCAATCGGGCTCATCCATTGCATCTGCTTGGAGCCGAACCAAGAGTGAGCTGTTAATCCATAGCTTGTTCGTTCATGCATCTCGGCTGTCAGATGTGAGCCGAACCAAAAGGGACGGTCTGTAGAGGAGTTTTTTTTTTTCTCAGTTTGGTTTAATTTACTCCTAAAACATAAATAGGAAAAAAATCAGATGTGATAAATACGAAAATGTTGATTTAAAATAAACATTCACCGTTTGTGAACATACTATCAGTTTGTACTTCATAATTTACCTTCAAATAACAAGTGTTCTTACTTGTGCGCGTGATCGACTAAACATTCCTTTTGTTTTTTTTCGATGGTTATAGAACATTACTGGTAGCACATAATTAATATAGTGAACAATATATGCATGCATTGCCAACAGTCACACCAAAAGCCAAAAGGGCTCCTTTCTGTTGAACTTGAACAACAGAAAAATCTACGGTATTAGGTTACTGCCTTACTAGTGGTCAATATATGCATGCATGTTTGAACCCAAGTTTTAGGTTTACCTAACAGCAGTTACAGGCTTAATTACAGCACGCCCGCGCGCAATGAAAACGATCACTGCAATCAGGTTGGTTGTCTTCTTGCGATCAAATTAACACAGCACAAACACACTATCTTCTGAGTTCTTGACTGAATTTACTGAAGTTTAATCAATCGGCATGCAGTAACAACACATGACTCCATCTGCAGCAGTCGCTCTCTCAAACTGTCAAACAGCCAACCAATTCAAACCAAGCAAAGCAGGCCAACGAAACGCAACGCATGCGCGCGCGCGCGTGCCCAATAAATGGCGGGAAGCGCCGCACACCAGCCATCGCCGTCGTCCCGCGCGCGTCCGGCCGGCCGTCCGTCCACCCATTCCATCCTCCGCCTGCAATGCAGCTAGTAGCTAGCTAGCCACCGATCGGTCGAGAGAGAGGTAGGTGCCGGTTGGTCGGTTTCGCGCTCGATCATATCGACGCATTACATAATTCTGCAGTTGGTGACGGGTCAAACTGCTGGCCCGATCGAGCATCATGCACTGCATTGCAATTGGCTCTCGAGCTCTCTCGTCTTGTAGGGTTTGTAGTTGCCGTTGCCGCCCCCTTGCAGGTGGATGGATGCATGTTTGCTGAGCTGCAGAAAACGAGAGCAGAAGAATCATGGCGATTGATGACTGCACAACAACCAGAGAGAAACACTACTCACAACCGCACACACACGTACGGGAGAAGAGAAGAGAGTATATATATTGCTACATTAGCATCCACTTGCTATGAAGATGGCTGAGTGCTCGAGGACGGCAAGTACTGCACAATGCAGGCAGATATACAGTTGGATGGATAGATTGAAGCTAGGTATACTATAGACTATAGTGTATTTCATTAACATTTAGTGCTACTAAACTATGTGGTGGTTCACGGCATATGAGCCTCTTTTATTGGGGCTTACCAGAAAACAGTACCGAACATATAGCCTCTGCCTACTGCCTACCAACCAGCTTGCAATTGCTGATGATGATGACTGTGTTTTGCTAATGCCAACCTGATGATCCGTTGCGGCCGTCGACCTGTTCGATCTTGTTGTTTTGCAGCATTTGGAGGATGGATGTATCTGTGGGTGTGAGGTGTCTGGTGTCCGACCAAATCATCATGACAGGATAATGCCATGTACTGTCGTGTGGAATCATTTGCATTGGTCTTGTGTGATCAGTTAGGATTAGTATATATATTGCTTTCCAGAGAATTCTTCAGCTTGAGAGAAATTGCTAGTGGAGATATAGTTTGAGTTTGATTAATTATTCTTTGGCCACAAGTCTTCTTCCAGTGCCTCCTTATTATAATATCTGTCTTAATGGTTTACAAATCATAAACCAACCGTCGCCATTTGCAAATTTGGAATGTTTGTTAGTACCGAATGATTATGTGCTTATCATATTAGAAGCCTGATGTTTTTTTTAAAAAAAATTGTGCTTCTTGTGTGAATGGGTGAAATTACATTACTTCGTCTCAAAATTGAGTTCCAAGTCCACGTACGCTTGCGATCACGGATCTACAGTCAGAGCTGAGAGCTCTGGTCCTCTCTCCTCTCTGACGCGGAGCTGAACAATTTTTGTTGCTTTGCACAGCGCTTCATGATCACAATGTGACAGAACACATTTCTGGTGATTCTTGCTCAGCGACAAACCGTCCAGATCAGACGAAAAAACATTGTTTGTCTTCTTTCCGTTTCCTTTGCCACGGTCAAATCGTACATTGTGCCTTTTCTTAATTTCGAAAAATATATTTCCTCAAAACTACGGTAAGTTTATTAAAAAAGACTATATAGTTTTAATCCATGGTACTATCATAAATACTATACAGATTTAGTACATAATCTACCGCAAAAACTATATGCTGTAGAGATTACATGTTTGCACTGTTATCTCAAGCTGCATTGCCATTCGCCAAAATTGCTGATCTTGATGGGCCAATTGCACATTTGGGCTAGTAGTATAGTCTCCTTCTAAATACCGACGGTTGTGGCTTTGTGGGCTGTCTGCACCCACCGAATGCTATGTTTGAGACAAGCACAATAAGGGAGTTTTTTTTTTTTCTAAACGACGTGTTTTTTTAAAAAAAATTCTATATAAAAGTTGATGCTCTATTAATCATACACTAATGACTCAACTAGTTGTATATTCTCAGGCCTTATTTAGTTGGGGAAAATTTTTGGATTTGATTGTCACATCAGATATACGGACACATATTTGAAGTATTAAACGTAGTCTAATAACAAAACAAATTATAAATTCCGCCAGGAAACAACGAGATAAATTTATTAAGCCTAATTAATCCGTCATTAGTAAATATTTACTGTAGCATTACATTGTCAAATCCTGGCACAATTAGGTTTAAAAGATTCGTCTCGCAATTTACGCTCAAACTGTGTAATTGGTTTTTTTTCATCCACATTTAATACTCCATGCATGTGTCCAAATATTTGTTGTGATGTGTGAAAAGTTTGTTTTGATAACTAAACAATGCCTCAATCTTCTCATTCTCCTCCTCACAAACCCGAGAAAATCAACATTCTACTATCATTGAAACAAGGATTCGTAAAAAATACCACACCATAGTTGGGATTCGTCATAATGCTACTCTTAATTGTGGGCTTCACCCAAATACCATTTTCTTCCAATTCTGAAAGATAAAAATAGTTTTGTCCCTTTTCTCTCGTCTTTGTTGACCAAAATCCCCCTGGTTGAATCAATTCAATTAGTTCAAAAATGTAGATTACATAGTACATATTTCCCAAATGTCTTGACATGCATGGCGGTGGAGCGACGCCTCCGAGGGGGCAGCACGGGAGGCGGGTGGTGATGGCGGGGAGGCAGGCCAACGAGCGCGAGTAGCAGAGCGGCGACGGGAACTCTAGCCTCCCAAGCAGCTGCTACCTTGCTAGAACAGATGATGGGGATATTTTGATGATTTAATCTTCTTTGATTCAACTAAGGGCATTTTGATCAACAAATAGAACGAAAGGGACAAAAAAGAAACTATTTTGATTTTTCAGAATTGAAAGAAAATGGCAGTTCGGGCGAAACCCCAAAGTAGCATTCCGGTGAATCCCAACTGTGGAGTAGTAGTATTTTGGCGTAGCTCGGTTCTGATGATGGTACACAAGTTGCGAGTATGGCGCACGCATACCGGGGATTCACTTTCTTTCTCCCCCATCCACACATGCAGACAACGGCACAATGCCGACCATACCGTTGCTGCTGCCTTTTTCCGGTGAGGTTACAGCGCCCCGTCCGGCCACCGGCGCACCACTACGAAGCCGCTCGTGAAGCCTGGTTGGAAAAGGCCGCCATCCACGCCGGAGACAGCCCATGCACCGATTCCACGGACGCCCCCTCCCGAAAACCCGGTGCGCCAATCCAGCGACAAGCCCACCACGAGAGAAGTAATAAACAATCCGACGGCCCGTATTCCGTGGTCCACGGCCACGACCGGGCCCACCTGTCACAAGCACGCACTCCCCACCTCGCAACCTCGCCTCGGCTCTGCCTCCCGCTCCCGCTTCCCGAGTCCCGACGACGCCTCGCCTCGCAAGGGGATAACACCAAAACCCTCCCCCCTCCAAACCCTAGTCCCCCATTGATGACCTCCGCCGCCACCGCCGTAGATGCACAGGCTCTCCTTCCTCCAGGCCACCATCATTGACGCGCCGCTGCTCCTCTCCTCCGCCTCCATGGCCACCGTGCCGGCGCTGCGGCTCGGCTCCCCCGCCGCGCTCCTCGCCGCGCGCCGCCCGCCGCGGTGGCTGCGGTGCGGCGGCGGCGGTGTCGGGGGAGGGGGAGGGGGAGTGGGAGTGGCGCGGAGGGGGATGGCGTGCTCCGTGGAGGCCTTGGCGAGGCGCGGTGGGGGCGGCGAGTCGGAGTCGGAGAATGAGGAGGAGGAGGAGAAGCGGAGGGGCAGGGCGGGGGAGAGGAGGCTCAGAGGCGGCGGGAGCGCCGCGGCGGCGGCGGCGGCGGCGGGGAGCGGGGAGCTCCTCTCCATCCCCGGCGTGGGGCCTCGCAACCAGAGGAAGCTCGTGGACAACGGATTCGAGGGCGTCGCGCAGCTTAAGCAGCTCTATCGGGATAAGGTGCGTGCTCTGCGTGTATTTTGTACTGCATTGATCTGTTCTATAGCCAACTGGAACAGTGGAATCGCTGTATTGTTTGGTTATTCTGCATAAAAACCACACGACTGTAATGCAGTAAGTCTAGCATTTGAGTTTGTGTGCACAAACACTGAATGAACTTAATAAACTCGTCCAACAGTATGATTTTTGATTAAAGATCAACTTCTCAAAGAGCACACTCATCACTATGCATACCTCTGATGAAGATACTACTGCTTTAGCCCAGATCCTCCAATGCAAGATCGATAGTTTCCCAATGCCATATCTTGGATTGCCTCTTACCCCATCTAAGGTGAGAAGATGTGAACTCCAGCCGATGATATCTTGTGCGGATAAATACCTCTCATGCTGGCAAGCCCGCCTTCTCACATATGCAGAAAGATTGATCTTGGTTAACACAGTTCTTGATGCTGTTCCGGTATATGCCATGTCTGCACTTATGCTCCCGAAAGGGGTGTTATTGAAGATCTTAACAAGAAAAGGCGCGCATTCCTTTGGACTGGGGAAGACACCTGCAGTGGCGCGAGATGCCTTGTCGCATGGGACACAGTCTGTCCTCCAAAGCAAGCGGGAGGGCTGGGAGTCAAGAATATTGGCAAACAAAATGAGGCTTTATTAGTGAAACGACTTCATCATCTACACTCAGTTTGCTCCCCCTGGGCATCATGGATCTGGGAAGAGCATTCAAATTCTGCCCTTGCGGATCATCTGCCTTTGGGCCCCCATTGGGACTCTTTGATGACCCTGCTCCCTCTCCTTCAGACACGCACCTCGGTGGTTGTTGGAGATGGAAGTCGCACCTCCTTCTGGCATGATCGCTGGTGTGGAGATTATACCCTCTCCGACAAAATGCAGCCACTATACACGCACTCCTTGGTGAAAAATGCTTCTGTTCATCAGGTTCTATCCTCCGACATCTGGCAGCACTTTGCTCCTCGCCTCTCATCAGTTGCAGAAGAACAATACCTCAGTCATGTCAAACTATCTCGGGATGGGATGTGAACGTCGGCCAGCCAGATGAGAGATATGCTCATGGATCAAGTGGTCTCCTCACAACTAAGCGCCTGTATCTCGCTGAGTTTGATTCACAGCCTCCCTGTCCCAATTGGAAATTTGTCTGGGAAAACAAGGCCCCCCTGAAGATCCAATTCTTTGCATGGCTACTGGTTAGGGATCGCCTCCCTACTAAGAAGAATCTACACAAAAAAACTATTGTGCCGTCTCCAGAGTGTGATCTCTGCCACCTTACTGAAGAAACGGCCTCACATCTATGCCTTCACTGCCCTGTTTCCCTGCAGTTTTGGGCGAGCCTTGGGATCACTCTTAACATCCTATCTATTGCCAGTGTCTCAACTCTCACCCCCCCATCATCTATCCCAACTAAACACTTTCAGGTTTTCTATCTTCTATGTTTCTGGAATTTATGGATTCATCGACATGATGTGGTCTTTAGAAGAGAAGAAATTTCGCTCCGTCGGTTGCTCACGAAATGCATTGATGATGCTTCCCTGTGGGCTGAAAGAATTAAAATAGATGATCGACATGTAATCTCCTCTTGGAAATCCCTTTTCTCAACTTGTATTCGCTCCTTAATTGTGTAACTGAACACTGCACTCCTTCCCCCTTTATTTCTTCTTTAATATATTCAGGTGGGGAAACTCTCCCCCCTGGTGAATTTTCAAAAAAAAAAAACAGTATGCATTTTTTTTTACCATTTATATTGACAGCTCCTGTAGTATGCTTGTCATATTTATAATAAGTTCATTTTTTATATATACCGCAAAAAAAAAAGAATCCTATGCTGTGCCTGTTTACTGTTTCAAAGCTTTAGTTGACCATCATAGTAGAAGATTAAACCAACTGATGCAGTGTTAGAAAGGGACTTGTATATACGGAGTACTGGCTTGTTTCTCTAAAGCAAATGTGAAACATAAAGGCAGCTGGAAAGGAATGTGTCTTGAAAGCATTTATGATCTGATGTATTTTTTTAAAAAAGGTAGCCCATGATATCCAATTTGGTCTTATTTTCCTGTAGCCCATTCATGAATCGCCTATGCGGCTATGCTATGCATGATGCCACGAGTCCACGATGCTCATTCAGTCTATGACAGTTTTCTCCAATTATGATATTGCCAGTCGATCTACGTCTCTGTATATTAAGTCTGTGTTAGATGCTGTGACACCGGAGATTCATTTTTTCTTGTTTTGGGTTTAGTTGCAGAACACTATAACTATTGATTGATGGTACAAGTATCCAATCGAAGTTTGTAGTATATTTTCCTGACCATTTTTTTCCTGGTGCATGTGCAGTTCTTTGGAAAATATAGCGAGAAGATGGTTGAGTTTTTACAGAGCTCGGTTGGCATCATTCATAAGAACCATGCTGAGAGTATAACTTCTTTCATTAAGGAGAGTGTTGATGAGGAGCTGAAGGATGCAGACTCATCTAAGGCTTCTCAGAAGAAGAGGCTCACCTTTTGCGTGGAAGGGAATATTAGTGTTGGGAAGTCTACCTTTCTCCAAAGAATAGCTAATGAGACCATCGAACTGCGTGATCTTGTAGAAATAGTGCCTGAACCTGTTGCTAAGTGGCAGGATATTGGCCCTGACCACTTCAATATATTGGATGCTTTCTATGCTGAGCCACATAGGTATGCCTATACCTTTCAAAATTATGTGTTTGTGACAAGGGTCATGCAAGAAAGGGAATCTTCAGGTGGAATAAAACCTCTCAGACTGATGGAAAGAAGTGTTTTCAGTGATAGGATGGTGAGTTTATCGTACTTGCAAATACTAGTTCAGCAATTGAACAGAACACTGTAGTTTCCTTCTGGTGCAATTTTTTTTCCTCTTTTGTGTGACTAAACTATTCTTTCATTATGCACTAGGTATTTGTTCGTGCTGTTCATGAAGCTAACTGGATGAATGAGATGGAGATCAGCATTTACGACTCATGGTTTGATCCTGTTGTGTCATCGCTTCCAGGTCTTATCCCTGATGGATTTATCTATCTAAGAGCTAGCCCAGATACTTGCCACAAAAGAATGATGCTCCGGAAAAGAGCAGAGGAAGGTGGTGTTACTCTTGACTACTTGCAAGGTTTGCATGAGAAACACGAGAGCTGGTTGCTTCCTTCAAAAGGAGGAGGTACTGGTGTGTTATCTGTCAGTCAGCTGCCCACACATTTGGAAGGTTCCTTGCCTCCAGCAATTCGAGATCGTGTCTTTTACTTGGAAGGAGATCACATGCACTCAAGCATCCAGAAGGTATTTTTGCTGACCTTAGCTTGCTCTGAAAGCTCCAGTATCAAGCATCATAGTTACATAATGGTGCCCTTTTTGCTATGTAGGTCCCTGCTCTGGTCTTGGATTGTGAACCTGACATTGATTTCAACAAAGATATAGAAGCTAAACGGCAGTAAGTTTGCAAACCTTCTTTTATCTTAACTTTTGTCCATAACATTGATTTTTATCTTTTAAGTACTTGCTTTGGGAGGCTCTGCCTACTTGTTTACGAGATGGAGCTTCTTTTTACCCTTATAATGCAGTTTTATTTATCAGTTATTGGATGCCAACATCAAAAAGTAGGTCGTGTAAGGCCTTGCATATTCATCTGAAAATTTTTAGCATTCTCATTGACTCATTGCATTGTTTGCCTACACAGATATGCTCAGCAAGTTGCAGAATTCTTTCAATTTGTGAAGAAAAAGAAGGAAGCTCCATCTGAACAAACAAGCACTGACAAGAACCGTATCAATCCACAGATCATGCTTCCTCACAAAGGCGGATTGTGGGTTCCTGATGGAAGAAACCCTTTCTCAGGATCTGCTATGAATCTGAACTTCAGAAGAGCCATGTCTTCCTATCTCTCGACATAGGATTTCAGCTCCAGAATGAACGTAGGATCTTACAAATCCCACTCTCACTGACCTTGTAAATGGGCCTATGCGTTAAGTTAAACCTAGGTATGTTAGCCACTGATGTAAGATAGTCTGCCACCGCATCTCCATCTTTTGTAAATGATCATCTTCCACCCTTTCCGAGTTCCATGTTTTGTAGTAGCGTCAGCTTCCGTTTGTCTGAGTTCTGGTATCTGTATCGTTATGTTGGTTGCTGACTACATTCTGTTAGATGATCCGGAACTCTTTGACATTTCTGGGAAAGATGCTTCAGTACTTGCCGTTTGTTTGTCATCAAGGTTGCCATGATTGGTCATGCATTTGTTCCTCTTGCTGGCTTTATTTCTTCTCAAGAACAGAGAGGTTGGTTTTAACTTTGGGAAACAATGGATTTGAAAGGAGGAAAAAGGAAGACGACGAATGAACATCGCTGCACCATGGGCTCAGGCCAATTTGGGAAGGCCTATCACTTGGAAATTATCTGGGCTATCCTAAAATGTTGCTTTGGTGATTGGCCCAAAGCCATAATCATCTATTTTACTGTGCTTGGGTTGGTGACATTCCTGTGAAAAAATGGCCCTGGCTCCTAATCTCATTCACCTCTCTGGTCTATGGTCTGTATGGCAGAGTTTTTGGAGCTGGAGCCCAACTAAATTTTTCCAGCTCCACCTAAAATATAAGCGCTTTTACAAAATAGACCAGAGAGGTGAAGCTAGATTAATGCTGCTCCACAACTTCACTCCAGAACCAACATGCCCCTTGTGTCCATGGGTATGTAGGAATGTTCCACATCGTTGGTCTCAACTTCACCGGTCAGACACATGCTTTGATTCCGGGCTTCCGGCTGGTCGTACCAGTTAACGTACAGAATGGTGTCCTTCAATTCCTCCATCACCTTGTCCGTTCAATGGAGGGTAGAAAGCAGCCGGAGAAAACGACCGGCAAAACCCCCCCAAAACACGGCAACGGCAACGGCCAGAAATCCGATGCCGTCATCGCTTTATTTGCTTCCTCTACGTACGTACGCTAATCCAATTACCCCATTGCTTTTGCATGCAGTTTACAGCTGATTTGGACATGAACGGCTAGCTTTTTAGAAAGTGCACACGGATATGTTTGGAGAGCTTTTGACAGCTGTATTTTCTTTTGGAATCAATTTTTTTTCCAAGACAGTTCAACTTTTCATTTAAATTTTGATAACCTGTAGTTATCAACCTTTTAATAAATTATAATCTAGAAAATAAACCAGAAGTTAAAAGTTAAGTTTCACAGCCTTTTAAATTATCAACCTACCGCTTCTTAAAATCTTAAACTTCTTCAAACAGGATCTACAACAACCACTAGTTGTCTTAATCTTCACCTAACCAAGCGAGCTCATCGGTCGCAAAGCTCAATTTGTAAAAGATAAAGGAGAAAAAGAAAAGATATGGTGACCAAGAGCACCCGACCATTGTTGACAGTCTCTGACCATGCGGCCGAATGTTCAGAACAGTGATCATGGAGCCGGTCAATGCAAGCTAGAACTAATACTAATTTCGCGCCTTTTTCTCCTCGAAAGGTGAATGTTCTTCTACAATGTCCCTGCTTTCTACCTCGAGATCTCTTCTCCTTTATAAAATGTTCTCAGGTCGGTCTGCACGCATGCAGCACGTTTTCTCCATATTTCAAGTCGATTAAACGCAGTGGCACGTGCTAATCACGTTCGTTTAGGGAAAGCGATTGTTTAGTCGACATGTGCAAAGCATTGCTAGCTCTTCATGGCCATCTCCTTCGCAGCCATGTGCCAAGCATTATGGATCAAGGCGCCAATTGAAGACTAATTAAGGGCATTCAGCCCGACGAGAGAGACATGAGATCACATTTAGTAGTACTGTACAACTTAAATTAATGGCAACCTTAACTTGCATTAGTCTGTCTAGTTTGTGCTGGGAGTTTGAGGGCATGTTTGGAAAAGTTTTTAGCTGCTACACTTTCTCTTAGAGTCTAGGTTTTAAAAACAAGTAGGTGTAGAATCCAGAAAATAAACTAGAAATCAGAAGCTTGGAAAACCAGCTAACAGGTCCTGGGAATATGCACTCTATTTTAGCCGCACATGTTTAACCGTGGGACATTTAATTTTTTTTTAACTTTTAAAATGTGGCAATTAAGGATTTATCACTCGCTATCTATAACATGTGGGCTCTCATGTGTATATGACATGTAGGTCCAGTAGTAAATCCTTTATCACCACTTGTAAGAGTAGCAAATAGTTAATTATTTCTTTAACGATTCGTTTAACTAAAATATAACATAATGATTATTTATTTTGTAGTGATTTGTTTTATTATTAAATATACTATAAAGAGTAAATTGCATTAGTGGTACGTAAACTTGTTAGATGGGTATAATTTAGTGCATGAACCTGTAAAATGGTCGTTTTGGTACACGAACTTATCTAATCCGTGGGAACTAGGTCCAAAATGGCTTGGCAAGGTTAATTTTACCTAGTTGATGTTGATTAGGATGTGGCGTGCATTAATATAGTGAGTATGCATAACACATGCTATATTTATAAATTTCTTCTCTACTTTATCTTGAATTTTTGTATGTTTCTAACCCTTGTATCATTGCTCGGTTTTTTATATTTTTCTCTAGAATCACTATATCTCATTCTATCTTTTTATTGAACAGGTGTATGTCTAAGTAGCAACCTTCTCATATCCTTCTCATATATATATATATATATATATATATATATATATATATATATATGTTTACGTAGTATCCTAATCAGCACCTAAATCAACAAAATTAGTCATGTAATGTCCTTTTGACTTTAATTCACACGCGCAAGATAAGTTTATGTACCAAAATGAATATTTTACAAGTTCATACACTAGATTGCACCCACTTGATATATTCGTGTAATGCTGATACAATTTACTCTACTATTATAAATATAGTTTTTTATATTTATACAAATTTTTAAATAAAACGAACAGTCAAATCTATTTCCAACATTCAATGGTCTTGTACATTAAAAATCTAAGGGAGTAGTTTATACTAGCCTGAAGATGGTGAAGATTGAAGGCTTGGGATTTTATTCTTAAGACAAAAAGAAGAATAAAAGAGAATGCTTACTGTTGAGCTGCGTGTAGGGGCTGTCAAAAAATAAAATAAGAAGTAATTTTTACAGAACTATAGGTATTTTGATCCATTTATTATAAAAGTAAATATTTAAGAACGTGTATCAAAAAACAACATATTTAACATCATTTTTTTTTCACAAAACTACATATTTAAAATATCATATGAAAAAACTATAGATTTATATCAGTTTTATCACAGAACTACAACTTTTATAACCTTGACAGTACTATGATATCAACTCTAAAATTTGTAGTTATTTGATAACTTCATCACTAAATCTGTAGTTTTGTGATACGATATTTTAAATATGTAGTTTTGTGATACGATATTTTAAATCTGTAGCTTTGTGCTACATATTTTTTAAATATGTAGGAATAGGAGTAATAGTTTAGTCAAAATATATTTTGCAAATTTTGTCAATAGAAAAAGAAGCTCGACACTCGCGAGCTACACGAGTAGATCTCGCGCTAGGCTTGGTTCGGGCCCGGCCCGATATCCAAACGACCCGAGCTCGAATACTAGGCTCGAGTCTGCACCGAGCTCCACCTCGAACTCCTGAGCTCGGGCTCGCTGTCAGTTGCGTGTACTTGGTGTTTGGGTGGCAGTAGCATTATTCCGGCTTGACCTGCTGCGCCGCCGGAGTTGAGTAGACTCTGCTACTACTTGCTTCACCGGCTCACCGCAACAGCACCCAGAAAAAAAAAAAAGCTCTCCTCGTTCGTCTCCTCCTCCTCCCCTTCTCATTCCCAAAATCCACCAAATCCCGGCAGCAAGGCGCGATCTCTGGCGCTTCCGCGGTTCGCGCGATCCCCGATCGGTCCGCGCCAGGTTCGTTGCTGCAGCTTTTGACGCTCAAATTACAGGGAAAAGATCTCACATCTTTTGCTGATGACGAATTGTGCGGCTTGGCTTCTGCAGGGGCGCTGGTTTCATGGATTGGAGTTGCTGGGACGGCTCTTCGTGGGAACCCTCGTGCTGACCTGATTCGTTTGGGCGTGGTTGATTTGGGTCTTAGTTTTTGGTGGACTTTGAGTCCCTTTGCGGGTGGTTCTTGTTTGTAGGCTGTGATTGGGGAATCCTGGGAGGTTGTAGGAATGGGATTATCTAGATTGCTGTAAATAGAGGTGAAGACAATTCTTTTAGGTACTAATTTGGTGCACATAAGGTGAGAATTTTGGTTAGGACTAGGTGGAGATCAGGATTATTGTTAGGGAAGGGGATGGGTGGCCTCTGCTCAAAGGTTTCAGCGGTAGACAAGTCCCCGAGCGACACCACGCTTGTTCGGGACCAGATAGTTGATCCTGAGCCTGCCTTGACAAAGCGGGCTAAGTCGCCTGTGGTTGAAGAGGCAACGGCGAAGCGGGTGGAAGACCAGCAGCAGTCTTTTGCATTCTTGGAGAGCGTTGTTCCCGGGCTTGCTGTTTACAATGGTGCAGATGCCGGTCAGGCCGGGTCTAGGACACCACAACTGGCCCGGACTCTGTCGCAGAAGGCTGGTTTGGGCAAGACTAAGGCCGGTGCTGCAAAGGTTGGAAGGATATTCTTATGCCATTTATTTAACTTACGATGAATTAGTCCGCAATGTAGCACATATTGTTAACTGCCAGTGTGTTAGGTCGCAGTGATATTTGTTATTCCTATGGTGTTATAGAGATATCAACAGAATCGTTATCGTTCAGTTGGTATATAACTATCCTTTGACCATTTTTAATCTCTGTATGCCTCTCCTTCTGAAGTTGGAGCACTCATTGACCAACCATGATTGTGAGTTGTGACTAGTGGTAATTACTGGCAAAGTGGCAATTAGTTGCAATTTTCATTACAACCATAAAAAGATCTCACTTACTAGCTAAATACCATCTCAGCATATCCTGCATGTAAGTACCAAAAACAACTTTCATGTCATCTCATACAGTAAACTCAACAGCGATCTGCATTGCTTCATGCAGAATCTGTTCATTGTTCCCACACTGTCCCAAAACTGTTCTTAATTTTCCCTTATTTGAACTTTGAATGGTCTATTGGGATTACTTTTCTAGTCTGCATATGTTTCAATGAAAACAATCCAGCTATTGTTTTGACAATGGCTATTGTATATATATATCCAGAAAAGATGCAGTTTTAATAATCCTGTTCTTGTTATGTAATTTGACAGACTATTCCTTATTGTACATTTCCCTTCAAGTGCTTTGAACCTTGATTCGATGACAGATTTTTTATCTACCATTATTAATTTTTCAATCTATCATTCTTAATGGTTTTAATCTAGAAAAAAATCAGTCTTAATGCTTACTTGCTAAACAGGTTTCAGAAGTGAGCTCCCTTTTAGGCAGGGCTGGCACTGTTGGTCTTGGAAAAGCAGTGGAGGTTCTAGATACGCTTGGTAGTAGCATGTCAAGTTTAAATACTAGCAGTGGTTTTATATCGGCAGCAAAGGGAGATAAAATATCTATTTTGGCTTTCGAGGTGGCAAATACTATTGTTAAAGGTTCCAATCTAATGCGTGCACTCTCAAAGACCAACATAAAGCACCTCAAAGAAGTGGTGCTTTATTCAGAAGGTGTTCAACACCTTATATCCAAAGATATGGATGAATTACACAAGATTGCAGCAACTGACAAAAGGTAAATAATGGTTTTGTGCTCCCCAGTCTTTTCTATCATGCCCATTATAAATATTATCCTACCAGATATGTATCCAGGTTACTGTACTATAACCTTTCTTTTAATGTTGTAAGTTGTATCAAGTGCTAATTGTTTGGTTCTAACAGGGAAGAGTTAGAAATCTTTTCAAAAGAAGTTGTTCGATTTGGAAATCGTTGCAAGAATCCTCAATGGCACAGCTTGGACCGCTACTTTGAAAAGTGCAGTTTGATTTCTGCCTTGTATTTAATGAAGGTTTATTTTAAGGCACTAATTTATTTTTTGTATTGATTATACTAGATTGGCATCGGAACGAACTCCTCAGCATCGCCTGAAAGAAGATGCAGAATCAGTGATGCAGCAATTGATTATTTGTGTGCAATATACAGCTGTAAGGATTAACAAACCCATTAGAAAGATTGCATATGCTCACATTTAGGCAGTCTCAATTCAAATTTTGCAGCCCCAAAGTAATTTTTTAGCTCTAAAGTAACAAAAAAAAAAAAACTTTGTAGCATTCTCTGCCAGATTTTTTTTTCTTTTTGGCTGAGAATCTGTGGGTCTTTGTAGTTGTTAACATTTATATTTGTTCCATAGCTCAGAGTTTTTGCAATAGGTTTGGTATTTTACTGCTACAGTCCTCTGATTCTAAACGCCATTAATCCTAGAAGGCTAGAACAGATGAAGAAACCCTTTTGGTTTTATCCATAATGAAATATACGGTTTTATGCATCATGAAATACACGTTTATTAAATAACTTTTGAGTTTGCAACAGAACATTATGGTGGAAAATAGCACTCATTAGTAGTATCTGCATTCTTTTTTGTTTTACATCCTAACAATGGGTACAGTGGGTATTTTTAACTTGGACCACTAATATTAGTAATAGTAACATACACTAGTTCATTCATTCATGTCACAAGAAAATGATACTGATAGATTTGTCACCATATTTCTTTGTTAGCATCATATCCTTAAATTTCAGTGTGCTTCCATTTAATTAGAAACAAAAATGACCTCCAAGCATGGCTATTTGAGACTGTCGATGTTGGAAATGACAAAGTAGAGGCAGTAGTATACTTTTATTTGGATCCTAACATCCTTAATAAGATTGAGATTTGTTGGTATTTAGCACCGTTTGCCTTCTGTGCACTGATTCGTGTTATTTCTGGACTTCTGGTTATAGATTTCACATCACTGACTCGCTTCTCTTTCTTTCTTTTCTCCTAGGAATTATATCATGAATTGCATACTTTGGATAGATTTGAACAAGACTGTCGTCGTAAACAGCAAGAACTGGATGGTTTGGGTTCAAGAGGTCAGTTTTGTTTCTGTTTTATGAACTGTACTTAAACTCATGTGGCCTGACTGCACTATAAACAACTTTGTGTGTCATATGAAACACTCAGCTCCAGTTCTTTAGTTATTTGAGGAGCAAGGCGGTTATATATTTATGCTCCCTTTTGTGAATATACAGTTATAGTTTTCTAGTTCAGTAATTCTTATGTTGTCATCTATCAGACTACTGTTCCTTTCCTCAAAATATTATCCCCATGGTAGTCCTTTAATTTTTCGTTTTGATGAATAAAAGTTAAAACATAGAACTTACCATGCACGTCAAGGATTTGTAAGTAGAATTAAAATTACCTTACTTGTAATGACTGTATGGATAAATTGATATTTTGACTTTGTTTCTAATGAACTAAGGTAGAAATTTCTGTTCATTTTCAGGTGATAGTCTGCATATGCTAAAGCAGGATGTCAAGAGTCAAACTAAGCATGTTAAAAGTCTGAAGAAGAGGTCACTTTGGTCCAAGAATTTGGAAGAGGTTTGTAGTAGTTTCTTTGTTTATAAAATGTTGGTTCAAGGAAGGCATTGGGTACTACAACGAGTACATGTTTGAACACACCGACCGCACTACGCACATATTCTATTGTCATATCATTCTTTAAATTTTTAGTAAAAAAAACCATTCTTTAAATGCTGAAAAATATTATGCTTTTCCACAGGTGATGGAAAAGCTCGTAGACATTGTTCATTTCTTACATTTGGAGATCAATAATGCCTTTGGCCTCGCTGGTATAATTTTATTGTCACGTTCTTCGCAAAAGGCTTCATAATTATTAGCATTACATAATTATATTTGTTGTGACAATGATATAGAAGCTCTTGCTACTATCTGACTGCAGACAGTGAAGCGCCACAAGAACCAGCTAAACACCACAATAGATTGGGACCAGCAGGCCTTGCATTGCATTATGCAAATATCATCAATCAGATTGATACTCTTGTAAGTTCACAAAATCTGCTTAACATTCTAAATTTTTAATTACTATTTTGTCATCTAGAAGATAAATCAACCAATATTTCAACACCAGCAATGTCATGAGTTGCCAATGCAAATATACATGACAAGTCCCATGTATGAGTATAGATTCTGTTAGAGAATTGAGCCTTACTTTTACGATGATCGTAAATCAATTGTAATTTTCTTATGAAATATAATCAATAGCAATTTGCAATATTTCAATCTCAACCATGTATACCAACTTCATGTGGTTATTGCCTGTTGGCAAACAATATCTTAACGAGGATTGATCAACTGGCAGGTTTCTCGATCAAGTTTGATCCCTCCCACTACAAGGGATACACTATACCAAGGTTTGCCACTGACTATCAAATCAGCTCTCCGTTCGAAGCTACAATCCTTTGAACTCAAAGAAGAGGTATGCTAGGCAGGTTAACACTTGCAGATTGCTATTATTATGAGTGTACATATATGTCTGACATGATAACATGGTTGTGCTAAATGGATGCAGCTTACAGCTTCTCAAATCAAAGCTGAAATGGAGAAGACTTTGCGATGGCTTGTCCCTATTGCAAATAATACAACGAAGTAATATATCCTATCCTTGCATGCCTGTGACCTCATTACTTACAATTGCAAAAACTATCCATTTCTTACTGAGAATATGATTGTCTGTTCACCCCAGAGCACACCATGGCTTCGGTTGGGTTGGAGAGTGGGCAAATACAGGGTTTGTGTCTGACTACAAACGTTTTGAATAAAAATGAAGAAACTATTACTTCTCAGTGACAATCTGATTATTCTATGCAGATCTGAGCTGAACTGCAAGCTATCAGGGCAGATGGACTTAACCCGAATCGAAACACTATATCATGCTGAGAAGGAAAAGGTTGATGGCCATATCCTTGAGCTTGTCGTGTGGCTCCATCATCTCATCAGTAAATCCAAAAATGCCAATGGAGGTGTAAGGTCTCCCATCAAGTCTCCCGTCCGTTCACCAACACAAAAGGGTATCACCTTGATGCCAGACAAGTCGAACAGTTCATCGCCAATCCTCACACAAGAGGATAAGGATATGCTGAAGAATGTTAAGTTCCGGAAATTCGTCCCTGGAATAAGCAAGAGTCAAGAGTTTGACACAAAGTCAAGACATAGCAAACAGATTAGACTGATAAAGAGCAACAGTCAATCTCCAACCAGTGGCAGTAGGAAAGACATGCTTTCACTCAGGAGATCATCCATGCTTCCTGTCATCGACTTCCAGATGGATAGGACCAAAGCTTTGGACTTAATCGACCGGCTTGATGGTCTGAAAAAACAATGAGGAATCATGAAGCTGTTTAAGAACATGAACCTGAAAATGGGCAGTCGTTTGTCTATCTTGAAATCCATAGCCCCAGCAAAGATGTCGAAAATTGGCGTTAAACTGCAGCAATGCCGCCCGTCTGAGGTGAAGAACAAGCAGTATGCCAATTGCCAAACAAGCAGTACGCCCGTCTTGGCGCTGTGAGTAATCAGTTGTAGCTAAAAATTGTATCATATACCTTGTACTGAAGAAAAGGAACTGATGTACAAAACATTTCTTTAGTTGATTCTGCCTGTACAAGAAATGCAAGTTTGTTCTTTGTTTTAACAAGATATAGGATGTCTGATCAACTCTGGTGTAAAGCGTATGGTAAACTGCACATCACCGAACAAATTTCACTCCACAGGTACCAATGGTTTATACAGGAAATGTCAAGGACGCTCTAAACTAGAGATCCACACATGATATTGTAGCAACCTACAAAGATCTTGGTACAAATCAGCTCAGTTCATTTACATTCAAATAACTACCTACTACCACACTACATTTCCTCTAGACAGAGGGGGCCATATTGCCAATTCATTTTGCATCCTCCTACATCTGAAAGTTCGTGCTGTGACGGTTGCTACAAAGGGCACTGTAATTGTTGTGTGTGGTACTATGAACAAAGAGCAGCTATTAACATCTAAGAATATCTGAGATCTCCATTGCTCATGTTGGGGGTCTCTCCAGGGCCACGCAGCCAAATTTGCCTTTCCGGTAGTCAGACAAGATGCGGAAGGCTGCTTGGCTGGCATCTCCATTGAACAAGTGAACAGAGAGCTTTGTCACAAACCTGAAACTTGTCAAGCATTCCATCAGAATATTGTCCCAACTTCTAATATCATTGAAAAAACTAGAAGAGGATTGAACCGTACATTTTACCACAATCGCTGTCCATGTCAAGCCTATAGCGTCTTCGAAACGCTTCAGGGCCTGTGTCAGAGCCATTCAGAAAAATATATATCATGATGACATACTTTTGTTCTTTGAAACTAAACAATGATCTTTAGAATGCATTATAATCAAAACATATATGCACAGGAGGCATTAGCTTGTCAGAGCACTGACCTACAGCTGGATGTCTCACTAATAACTGTACGAGAATCGCTGCCACATCAGCAAAGTCATACGACCTTTCTCCTATATCATCACATATAGCAAGTTTGATTGCAGCTGTCTGGTCACTTATTCGCATTGGCAAAATGCCAGGTGAATCTAATAGCTCTAAATCACTTCCAAAACGAACCCACCTGTTAGTAATTCTAATGTCAGAAATGTAGAACTGGAACCATATTATTTGCAGGATGGACATTTATATAATATTGAATTTCTGCAAAAAAAGAAACTAAGAATTATATACATCTATGCAACTGAATAGCTTACTTCAGCTCTCTTGTAACACCTGGTCTAGGCGCTGCTGGACACATTCTTCGTTTTAGCAAGCGATTAATTAAGGAAGATTTGCCAACATTTGGATATCCAACTATTCCAGCTCGAACCTTCATACAAGGGAAACTTATAAACAACAAAACAAAATAAACAAGTTGTACGTGATCACTTAACAAAAAGAATCTTTTTTTTTTGTTTTGGATTTTATGCAATTGTTGAAAAATATGTATTATAACAGAAAGCACCAACATACTGCTATTGAACCATTCATTTCAGGAAGCCGATGTGCTACCAACTGCCTGATTCAATTAAAATTTATCAGAAAATTAGAATTTTATATTAATCATTCAAAAAGAACACATGCAAACATTATGTCTGTGGTATCACAAGCAAGTTGAAGAATGCATTGTTTTAGAAATATTTCCAGATCAAGCTAATTTGCACACATGAAACAACAAAACGAAATGAAGCAATACAAGACATAACAAGGAACTAAACGAAGTACCGCACGAGGAAGTAACCCCTTCTCTCTGCGCTTTGTGTTCACAGTAGATGCTAGTGATTTTGCCATCCTACCTAATTTCATTGTACCCTGACCAAGAAATAAATCGGAGAAAGCAATATATATCATGTCATAATCCAGAACCGACCTGGCCAATGGACAACAAAAGCTACATAAGGGTTATCTTACCATGCCCAGCTGCCCGTTTGAGTAAACAACTTTGGTACCCTGATTAGCAAAGTAAGAGGCCCATGCATTTCTGTCCTCATTTGACACCATGTCTTCGCGATTCATGACTATGATCCTTTTCCGATTGCCTAGCCAGGCATCCATCTGATCATACGAAACAACACTCATCAGCACCATCCCATGTTACCCATTTCACAGACATAAACAAGAGCAAACCATAACCTTAGGATGGCTGGTTGCCAAGGGAATCCTTGCGTCGCGGACCTCTATGACAACATCCATAAGCTTTAGCTGTTCTTTCAGTTCCTTCTCCGTTTTCGCAATATGACCAGGATACCACTGAATGGTAGCAAAAAAAATGGAGAAAAAAGTGAGAGCATATATTAAACATTAGAGCTAGTACAAGATTCCGCACATATGCTTGTTAAATTCCACTAAAGCACACCTTATATATACCTGCACTGGGCGCAGGGATCTGGTCCAGTAGCGCAAATCCGCATCCAAGTTGTCCCAGAACATCTCTTTGTCGTAATCTTCGTTAGCATATAGCGAGTGGCTTAACCTCTCTTTCTCATACAATCCCAGCAGCGTGTCACCAGAAATCTAATCATACAAGCATAAGACGATCAAAGCAGCGAAATGTCAGGATGGTACTACTCACAAATGAGCTTTGCTCCAAACCAAGAATTGCCATAAACAGACGCAAATTAGTAAAAGAAAGGGTAAATGGAAGCGGGACAAGACCCCGGACCCCGGAGCTAGGGATTTATCCACACAGTAGATATCGAACCAACCCCAATGCCGGCACAGGAACCAAATCCACGCAGCAGAGTGGAAACCAGAAACAAGACAAGAACCACTGGAAACAGCGGTTGTAAAACAATCGGGAGCTTGGAGTGGTCTACGAACCGAGGAGGATTCGCTAGCCACCCTGAGAAGGAACCGCCCGGGAGGCCTCCTGGAGAGCAAAGGCGCCGCCGCCTTAACCCTCCCCGGCGCCGGCGCCGGCGAGAAGGAGGCGGTGGGCGGAGCCAAGGAAGCGGCTGCCATGGCGAGGGGGGGATAGTGGAGGAGATAGCCGAAACGGGTGGGCTCCAATTAAAACAGTGTAGTGGATATTTGCTCCCATCCTGGCCGTTGGATCTCCGCCGAGATGTGGATTTACTCCTCGTCCTAGATGGGCCTGTATGGGCCCGTACTGGGCCGAGTGGGCCGTCGTATTCCGAGCCCACAACGAACTGCACCTTCTTCTCCGCAAGCTCGGGCTCTGTGTCGTTCGTTCGTTCACGGCTCCCGCGCTTCGCCGCGAGAGATGGCGCGCTCGGCGCAGTTCGTGGCCGCCGCCGCTCTCCCTGCGCTGCTCCCGACGCCGTGCGGTCGTACGTCGTCGAGCCGCGCGTCCTCCGACGAGCGCTGGGACATCCAGAAGAAGCCGTGGCTGCAGGCGGACGCGCTCCACGGCGAGGAGGACCGCAACGCCGCCATGACCATGAGGCTGACGACGAACAAGGAGATCAGCAAGCCACGGCACGCGGTGTTCGCCGGACCGTCCTTCGTCGCGCCGGAGCCGTGCATGCTTCCTCTCCCAAAGTTCTTGATGGCTCGCTAGCATGCAACCGATCAGACGCAAGCAATGGAGGAAAGCTAGCTCCCGAGCTGAGCAGGGTTCATGTCTGTAGATAAATCATTAGGACTTAATAGGGTTCTTGTGCAGTTGTGCTCAATCACATTGTCAAGTCCTTTATCCCTAATTCTGTATATGTTCGAAAAGAGTCTTCAGGTTGTAATGCAGTTCAGCAGTAGCATCTCAGTTGCATGGACAGTAGGTTTTTGTTTACTACTTCTGCAACTGCAGGAATGTCACTATTTCTGTAAGCAGTTTGATGTAAGTTCACCTACTGATTTGTTTCTTATTTACTGAAAAGAAGTCAAAAATAGTTTCTGATCAATTGAGATGCTACAGTTGAGAAAGAAATGTAAAATGGTATGTTGAATGAAGCACTGACTCCGATTCACAATTCTACTGTACAACCATAAAATGGGGGGAACTCTTTTAAGCACTGGGGTGAAGTCAAAAATAGTTTCTTATCAATTGAGATGCTATACTTGAGAAAGAAATGTAAAATGGTATGTTGAATGAAGCACTGACTCCGATTCACAATTCTACTGTACAACAATAAAATGGGGGGGGGGAACTCTTTTAAGCACTGGGGTGAACGTCCTTCCGTTTTTTTCATGTCAACTATGGCTGTGCAAAATTTTCAAAAAAAAAATGGCTCTATTTACACACATGGACTTCAAAGCAACTATTTGCCATTACAAGACCTCAACCTCTCAGCTAGTGGCATTATGTCAGTTGTATGGAATGCAATTCAAGGAATGCAGCTCACCGACGGCGAGATAGATCACGTCACTTGGAACCTCACAAACCACGGGAAATACACGGCGGCATTGGCGTACAAAACTTCAACCAGTACAAACTATAGAGTGATCATTTGGAAGCCTTGGGCACCTAAAAAGTGTAAAATTTTTGCCTGGCTGGTGGTGCAAAATAGAATTGGACATCTGACTGACTGGCAACTCACGGATGGCCGAACAACACCTATTGCCTGCTTTGTAGGCATACCCCAGAGACGATCTTCTACCTTCTCATGGAATGAAGGTACACGACGAGAATTTGGAGAACGTTGTTGGCTTGGACCTCCCGTGAACATATCATACCGGAAAGTTGGGGCCCAGCTACAACGGTACACGAATGGTGGATAGGGCTAGAGACCACCAAGGGGGTGCCGAAAAAAGGATTACGTACCCTGATCCTCCTAACGGCCTGGGAAGTCTTGAAGGAACAAAACCAGAGAGTCTTTAGGCACAAAGAACTCTTAGCGGCAAACGTGGTGACCAAGATCAAGGAGAAGGCCAAGACTTGGGCCCTGGCGGGAGCAAAAGGACTATATGAGCATGCTTCGTTTCGCTCGCCAGAGTTCGCTGGACCGTCCTTCGTTTCGCCGGAGCCAAGCATGCTTCCATTGCCTATGTTCTTGATGGGGCTCGATAGATCGGACGCAAGCAATCTCTATTGAGCAGGGTGCATATCTGTAGATGGGTCGTCTGAAGTTAGGGTTCCGTAGATTTTTCATGGTCAAACACATTCTTTTTTTTCGAGGGGACATGCAGGGAGCTCCTGCAATTTCACTATAGAAGAAGATAGTCGATCCAGTTTATAAGGAAAACTGGACCCAAAAATCTTACAACAACACGGTTAATTTCATGAAAACCGGTGAAAACCCGGCATTGACAAACTGAACCAAAGAACAGTAGTCCAACAAAGAGAAGAAACTCCTAAAACAAAGCCTTCAAGAAGGTAACGCCGACAGAACGACGGCAACTTCCGATCCTAACGAATCTAAAGTTTTCACCCGGAGAATTCCCTTGAAGTGGAGTTGAAACGAGGGCTCCAAAAGCAACGCCTTAAAGAAGGAGAACGGCACTCGAGGGAGTCACCGTTGCTAGCACCAGAAGCGGAGCAAGGTTTTCACCTCGGAGACCCTGTTAACCAAAGCATCCATAGCGGAAGCTCCCAAATGCCAACTGCACACCGAAAGGTATCGGCACTATTCACACCACCTGCACGACGACCGGACTCCACACCACCTGACCTCCGACTGAGGACGCGCCAGATCTGGACCTAGAGGAGCAGAATCCGGCTGTCCTCCTTGCATCACCATCGCCAGCAGACGCCACAAGCGGCAGCATCGGGCGATGGACAGGCCACCGACGCCGCATGATCCTTCCACTGTCGGACGCCGCACCGTCGCCGGATCCGCAAACTCCGCCACCGCCATCGCCATCCCCGCCGCCATCACCATCCCCACCGCCATCGCCATCCCCACCGCCGTCGACGTCGTCCCTGTCCCCGCCAGATCCGGCCGGAGCGGCGAGGATCTGGCGGTTATCGCCGCCGCCTCCCTGGATGACTCCCCAGTTCACCGGAGCGCAAGGAGAGAGGGGCCCCGTAGCCGCCGTCCTTGTTACCGCGCGGCTTTGCTGGTGGCCACTCGGGCGGTGGCGAGGCGGAGGAGGGAGGTGAGGGTGAAGGGATGGCCGGGTCGTTGCCTCCCGTGCCGCCCATGGCGGAAGACGACACGAGAGGAGCCTTGAAAGGAACCGCATCAAGATAGAACACATTCTCATAGGGTACAATGTAGAGTAGCATCTGATTTGATAAGTTGTAGTAGAAAAAAATTTGGTAATAACGTTGTAGGTTACAAGTACTTATATAAGCAGTTTGATGTAAATTTTTTGATTGGTTTGTTCCTAATTGAGTGGAATGAAAGGGTTAAATAAAGCTTCTGAACAATTATCTGGTCATATTTGAGGAGAATGAAATGGTTATCAGTGTTCTGTGCACACGATTATATGGAGTTCTACAATAAAACCATGGCAATTGCACATCACTGTAGAAAACTTATGTGTTTTAAATTTGAACTAGGAAGGTAGCCCGCGCATTCGCGCGGGCATGTGTCGTACGCTAAGTTTAAGATACTTATAAAAGTGAAATATTAACCGGAGAACACCTCTCATGATTTCTCTATAAATTGTTTTCATGGCATTAATTGCTTTTATAAGTTTATAACCTATTAGCTTTATGTTAAATCATATTTAAGTAATATCTATAAGCAATTATTTATAATCTTCTTCATCATTTGGAAAGAAGGTAGACTTATTTTCTTTAGAAAACATGTCAGTAAAAGTAAGTTGGTTTTCTTTTTTTAGTTGCATATATATTATCATAGTGTACTAAAGGATGAATTGGGTGGGACAGGTTTATATAGACTAAAATGATTGATGTAGTTTGAGAGATGATCCATTGAACATTCATTTCATATAGAGTGAGTGAGAGGCTCCACGCAACCTAACATGAATACGATAACGACGAAATATAATTACACAGTAATATTTTTAAAATGTGATGTACCATGAATACACGCTTGTTTTTTTATATATAAGATAGATCTAATGGTTAGAAATAATGGTTTCACAGATTTAAAAAGCATAGGAGTATTCCATATATGTAGCTTATGGTTGCTTTAATTATGTAGTTGGTGACTTACGAACACTCTTGAGGGCATTTAATTGATTTTAATTGTGTACAATGATTTAGTATAACACGATACATATTTTCAATTAATTTTCGTGTTTATTTAGTGTTCATGCAAACGATAGGGTCCACCTTCAAATGATATATTTTAACTTTTATATAGCAAAATATAGCTAATGAATGTTTAATTATAAATAAAATAATAGTTATGACTATTTTTATATTATGTTAGTTAGAAAAAAAATAAAAGAGACGATAATTGCATTGGAGAGGAGAGGATGCAAGAGCCAGAGTGGGAGGAGAGTGGTATTACGAAAGACAGGATGATGGGAGGAGATTACTGTTTTTAAAATAGATCGAATGTGCACTATAATTTAGAGTTATCTATTTTTATAAATACATTTAATATTAGATCTAATTTAAAATACTTTGGGTGCTGTATTTTCTAATTAAACTACTTAAATTATTCTAATTTTAGTGCATTTTGTTAATCAAAAGGTTTAAAAATCTATTTGATATAATAATAATAATTTAATAATTTAATGGTTAAAAATATTCAGTCTAGTTTGAATTTAAATAATATATAAAAAAAGGAGGGTGGACACCGGCCTTGGAACACGAAGGAGGAGGCATACGTCCGTTTCTACAAAAGGACAGTGATTTAGTTTTATTTTTTTAGAAAAAATATTATTATAAATTCTAATTTCCATCTAACTAAAATAGCATGAAAATCATGAAAATAGGAGAGAAAAGGAACAGAGGGGAGGGCGTACACAGATGGAGTTCACGTAAATGGAAATGTACTTAAGCGGGATGGGAGGGGATCGATGCTATTTTCTTTTTCTTTTTTTTTGAAAAATAGATCTAATGACGTATAATATCAGGTCCACTATATAATTGTAAATCTAATAGCTGAAAAATCTAAAATAGTGGGTCCACCGGTTAATTAGAGTGCCACATGACGGTTTAGAAGTGTTTTTAGGAGTACACGTGGTGGTTTATGAGTATTTGTAGGAAAATATGGTTTTTTTTATGTACGGACATATGCATGTTTTCTTTTTTTTTTTCCAAATAATAGTCTCATGTACATGCATATATACATACATATATTTTCTCCGGATGAATAGTATATATTTATTTATCTCTCGCAAATACACATGAGATTAGAAGAGAGGGATTAATTACTTTAATATGATTTGATCTAATCTATTCTACACCTGTACATGTGTAAATCAATTGTTATATATTTATTATACGTGACTACATATAAAGGGAAAGTGATGTTACGTGTGGGAGGAAGGAGGTGGAGGTGGAAAGCTTTTTTTTTTAAGATAAATCTGACGGCTTGAAACATTGGGTCCACTGATTTTAATGAAAACGGATGGACAGATGTTTTGTTTTTTTCTTAGAATTTCTAGGAATTTCTATTATTTATTAGCATGCCATGTGGCGACTTAGGAGCGTTTGTAGGATGCCATGTGGCGGTTTAAGAGCGTTTGTAGGAAGTTTAATAGACTTTTAGTATATAATAGAATAGATGAGCAAAATTGTGCTTTTCCTGGACAGCACACAGCAGCAATAACCATTTCAAGTTTCAGCAATATTTGCACGGGAACAGTAATTATTACATGTCAGGAGTTGAATAGGACAGCAGCAGAAAAGCTTAAAGAGCTAATGTGCACTGTAAGTAAATACCAAGACTCTCAATGCTATGCCAATGTGAACTGTAACAGCAGAGTTTCACACTCTGCAGCGCTAATATGGTGAGCAACCGCTAGTAGGCTACATGAATGGTTTCAACCTCACCGAAAGAGGGTAGATCTAGCTTCTTACATTCATTTAGACTGTACAATATACATGCATCAACAGACAAACCTCAAAAACTAAAAGCCAAAAAAACATCCGTCAAACTAGCAAGAGCAGCCTCATAAACTTGCTCCTCGAATCAAAGGAACAGATACACATAACAGATCATGTCACACCACCTTGATAAACAAGCAGAAGACCTTGTTTCGTGCAAATGGGCAAAAAAAAGCCAGGCTGCTTCGATGCTCCTTTGGAGGGTGTTGGCTTGGATGCAGCATGATCATGCACGAGCTAATCCTACAATCCTACAATTTGCAGTTGATTTGGTCTTGTCACTGCTGAAAGACGATATTGAGGAGATTACCGAGCATTCAGGACGGTCTCTATTCTTTAGACAAAGTAATCTTGTCGCACCACGGTGATGAAGTCAGCAGAGAGTGAATCATCCTCTTTTTGTTTCACCGTCTCACCGTTCCCTTGGATATGCCAGTATATTGGGGGAAGAGGAGTATAAAGGTCTGTAGTAAAAAAATAAAAACAGGAAATTATTACAGTACCACTCTATATATATGATAACAGTATTGGGTAACCTATAATATCATAGACATTGTGAAGTGCTAGTAATATCTTGGAGAAATCCCATTGCCGTTACTTTTCCTTTTTTTAAAGAACATGCACTAAAAAAAGTGAGGGATTCCTAGCATTGTATAACTATCTAGAGGCAAGCCTTAAATCAGTTGAAAAGGACAGATATGCCAAGACACCATAAATAGTAGGCTTGATTAATACTTTTCAATCCACAGGCCATTTCTTTCTTGATCCATAACTATGAAGGCAATGAGTAAGCCTATGACAACTACTGTTAACAGAACGAAGTCTATCTCCTTGAGGCAAAATACTATTGACTTTTGATTAAAGTAACTTCACTGCTAAAAGAAACCAAACAATTTTCAGTAGGAATTATCAAATTGGTAGTGATTTTAATACTAAAGTAAAGCACCAACTCTCAACAACCACAACTTACACCAGCTTTGTTACCACAAGGCTAGTAAAAGGAGATTGGAAACTCAAACTGCAGTGACTAAATAACTTCAACTTTGGGAAAACCACTTATTTATGTTTGCATGAATAATATTATCAGCATGATGTACCACAGAACAAATATTCATCTTCTCATATAAGAATAGCCAAGCATTGATTGACTAAAACTCAGAAATAATTACCTGGAGAAATAGTTTGATCATATTCTCTTGTAGAATGCAATACAACGGTACCAGAAAGCACAGTAAGAAATCCACAGATCTCAGAAGCAATACTGCTTATACTCTGTCCAGACCAATCCTGGAAACCATAAAACATATTCTCAAATTTTTGTTCTAGTAAATGGACTTAAACTAACTGGCATTTGTGGAACTTACTAAAACCTGCATACCTTGAACATTATGGCACTTGCTAAAATAGTGAGGGATGTAAACATCGCATAATAGATGGGGGACACAACTGCGGTATTGAAAGTGTCCAGTGCCTGAAAGTTTATCATGATGTGAACATGCAAATTAACATCAATATTTCTGTTACCTAAACAAAATGACTACAGGTGTACCTTGTTCAGGTAAATTAACTGGATAATTATGCATATAGCTGAAACAGTTGCAAATAACCAAGTTTGGAAATAGCCAGCCTGGTTTATGCCCTCAATTGTAAGCTTGATTGCAATACCAACTGCCTTTATGCTCATTACCTAGCATAACAAAAATAAGATAAACAAACCTATTAAACACCAGACCAAGCTAACAACAAAGGCATTTTCATAGTCCATAGAGATCACTTACCGTCAGAGATCCAATCACAGAGCATATTCCTATATACACTGCTATGTTGGTCTGCCCATAGCGGGGAGCACAATGCGCCATCAAGATCAGTGAGACCACCAGTGCAAAGGCCACATAGCAAAGAAAGGCTGCAGAAAATACAAAGTACAATTGTGATGACTGACGATAATAAAGTACAAAGGGAAACTACAAGGATATACCAGGTTGTGTCGCCAGGTGCCAAATCTGCTCCACTGAGCTCGGTGTCTCCTCTTCAGGAGCATGAAGGATGATCACTGTTGATCCGACTATACAGAGCACGCAGCCCAGCACTCCCATCCGTTGCAGCTTCTCATTCAGGATGAAATGGGCTAGAACAGCACTGCTCCACAAAGATTACGCATTCACCACGCATGTGCATGGACAGATTAAAACTAATTCAAACCATGGGTTCTAACCAGGAAATTTTACAAGCAAAGGGAACACATCCCAGTTGTACCTAACAATTATGCTGAGAGCGCCGAGGGGAGTAACCAGAACAGCCGGTGCGAACATGTAAGCCACGAAATTTGCAATCTCACCAATGAGCACTACGAAATTCGGAAAAAAAATTATCAAGAATTTCGAATAATTTTGCACTAGCCCCTCAAGAAATAAGCAACCTAAGAAAGCAAGAACTTACTTGTAATCATTCCAACCCACCAGAGAGGCTCCAAGAGGTATCCATAGCCTCCAACACCTGAAATTCACCATGAACAAACAATGATTACAGCGCATCGTTGACGAAGAGCACCAGATTGGCCATAAAATGGGGCGCCTTTAGGACATTCCTCGCCACATGACCTCATAACAACGCCCAAGAAACCAAAAGAACGCGAGAGGCGCTGCCCAAAGGCTGCAAACCAGGAGAACCAAGAAAAATATAAGGCCGGCGGACCTGCGCGGGGGCCGGCGGCGCCGGCGCGGCGGAGCCCCTTCTTCTTGACAATGAAGCTGACCCCGATGAACGCGGAGGAGGCGACGGCGAGGAGGGAGCCCTTGAGGTTGGCGGCGAAGAGGTCGCCGGCGGCGTCCGGAGGGGCGCGACTCATCGGCGCCGTGCTGCTTCTGCGGCGGCGCGCGTCGTCCGCCGGCGCATTTGGGGCGTGTGCCCGCCTGCGCGCTTCGAATTCTTTGGTTCGAGGGGATCGGATTTTGGATTTTGGATTTCCTCTGCGTTCGATCCCTGCGCTGTCCGATATTTGAGGATTTGTGGCCTGTTCGTACGTGTGCGGGGTGTCCGGGGTTGGAGGGAAATGGGGGGAAACAAGTGTAATAACTTGAGAGGAAGAGGTGGAAATGAGTATCTTATTCTTCAATTTGCATGGACATTTTGCTTGGTGTACTCACAATGGGCACCAAGGACGGAAATGCCGGAGGTAACCGGGTTGTTTAGAACAAACCTGCCACAACACTTTTAAATAAAAAAAGTTCAGACTTTTAAATAATGTTCATCCCAAAAAAAAAAACAACCTAGGAGGGGATGTGACAAAGGGCTATCCAAATTCGTTGTACTAGGAGGGGAGATTGGCTTTTTTTGGGATTGAGGGAGTAGGCCATTGGGTTGAATTAAAGATATGTTGATCTTGAATTTTTACTCAACATTTCAAATGTCCAACCTACAATTGTCCATAGAGTTTGTTAACGGAAGTGTGTGCCATTGAACCAATAGTGTCGGGTGCACGTAGGGGTGGGTATTTGGTCTAACCGAAAAATTCGGTTCGGTTTCTCGGTCTTTTTAAAATTCGGTCTTTGTAATCTCAAGACCGATCGGTCTCCAACAAATCTCAGGACTGAGCAAATCGGTCTTCGGTTAGTTTGGTTTGGTCTTGGTCATAGACCGAACTAACCGTAAAAACAGCAAAAACAAAGCAAATCAACAAAACTATTTGTAAAAACAGCAAAAGCAAAGCAAATCAACAATTAGTGGAGGCGGCGCCCGGCGGTGGAGCCAGCGCCGGGCCGGCTGGGGGCGATGCCAGGCGGTGGAGGTGAAGGCACGCTGGCTAGAGGCGGCGCCGGGCCGGCTGGAGGCGGCGCCGGCGGTGGAGGCGGAAGCGGCGCCCGACGATGGAGCGAAGAAGGATGCGGATGGGATGGAGACGGGAGTCGGGACGGCGCCGCTCCAGGATGGATGGGGATGAAACGATGCGTCGATGCCTGTGAGGCTGTGACGCACCTGCCCCTAGGATTTCTTATTAGTGGGTTTATTGGACCAACTAGATCTATTGAGCCTAATTCGGTTATTTCGGTCAATTCGGTTAATTAAGGCCCATGACCAAATAAACCGAATATATTTCGGTCTTTCAATAGTTGAGACCGAATTTTTCGATCTCGGTCTCGGTCTCTTCGGTTCGGTCTTATTCTGCCCACCCCTAGATGCACAACACGCACTAGGGTAGAAAAGGTGATGACGGTAAAATGAGAATGTACTATGGCTAGGTTCTCATGTAAAGAGAGATCACGCGATACCATTAAATACACTCGGTGGAATTTCGGTAGACATGAAAGTTGTCACCCTACATATTCTGTTTTTCTTTTACGTGTTAGTACGTATTTTGTTGAAAAAAATACTACTATGTCCAAAAAAAAAAGACAAACCCCAGCTATTAACCTGGGCACGTATATGTCCAGGTTCGTAAATAAGATTGGGTTTTTTATGGGACGGAGTGTGTATGTTTTACAGACGGATGTCACTGCTTATCAGTATCAATATCAATCACACGGTCGGGTGCGCGTAGCAGGGAGCCGGGAAGCAGAGAGGAGTTTTACGCAGCAAATATAAATGCAGCGTGGTTAGCATCCACGGTGAAGGACCGATGGCACGATCTCGCGGACGGCTCCACCACCGCGACAGCGCACGCACGCACGCCCCCTCACATGCCGCCTCCTGCGCTCCCCCCGCCTCTGCCGCGATCCAGATCCCAATTCATCGTAGTCGTAGGCCCCACCTCCCTGCGGGGCGGGACAACCTGCAGATACCCCCATCGCCGTGCTTCAATTGCGATGGCCGATGGACCTCCCGCGTGGCCGCCTTGTGTTTTTCCATTGTTTTTTTTTGCTCCCGGTTTTGTCACTTGTGAGAGCCGGTCGCTCGAATGCCGATTGGTCGTCACTCTTCAAGTCGTGTTCGGGGTATACTCCGTATGAATTAACAGTAGTTGCTTTATTAGTTGCTGGTGCTTTGTGTTCGTCTCTGCATCTTGCTGTCTCGTGCGTCCTTTTTTTTTTCTTTTGTCATTCATCTTCTTCGCTGTACTGGAGGGTTTTTTTTCCCGTATTTGCTAACGTGGTGTTTGTTCCTCCGTGCTAACGACTGATTCCTTGGACTGGAGTGTTATTATGTGTTTCTATGCTTTAGTGTGTTTTCAGAGTTTTAGTTAGCGGTGGTTAGTGATGTGATAAGGTGAAAAGTGATGGTGTGTGCTGACGGGCATCTTCGCATCCACCTCCTCAACGTCATCTTGCACTTTACCAGAGGGGAACTGCAAATCAGCAATATGCGACAGTATTCGGGTCCATCAAACAAATGGGACGGGCCGAGCCGTGACTGTCTCCGACAAGGCCGCCTATCCAGCCCACAGTAACTCCGGCCCAAAAGGAGGTCTCATGGCAGCCCACAGTAACTCCAGCCCAAAAAGGAGATCGCATGACAGCCCACACCCGTGTGTGTCCACTGAAAAGTCTGAAACCGACACAGTACCCACACGTGGGACCCCAACCCTGGACCGGAAATGGACCAGCCGCCGCCATATGCCGACCTGCACACGGCCTGGTCAAATCCACTAGCGCTCGAGGCGGCTACTACTACTCCACCATAGCAGGGCCCACCCATCAGTGGCCCATTCTCCTCGAGCCTCGAGCTCGGCCACTACGCACTCAGAATTCCTTTTTTTTTTCTAACGCAACAGCAGCCGGTACACGTACGAGATACGATACGGATACCGATGGTATGTATTCAGCACCGTACATCGCATCCTACGGCGGAGAGACGGCGACGAGCAAAACCCTCTTTAAATCCCGCCCCTTGACCTCGCCCTCGGAGGGGAAACCCATCCATTCCCCCCCAATCCCTCGCGCCGCTCCCCTTCCCCCACTCACCAATGGCCGCCGCCGCCGCCGCCGCGTCAACGTCGCGCCTCCTCCTCCTCCGCCACCACCACCACGCCGCCGCCGACGGGTCGAAGCAGCAGCAGCAGCTCAGGTATTCCTCCAAGCCGTCTTCTCTCGCTCTGCCCCGGCTGCGCCTTTTGCCGGCGGCCGGGGCGCTGCTGCCCGACCGGGTCACCCCGTTCTCCTACGAGGAGGACGACGAGTCCGACGACCACCCGCGCGAGGAGTGCGGGCTGGTCGGGGTCGTGGGGGACCCCGACGCGTCGTCGCTCTGCTACCTCGGGCTGCAGAAGCTGCAGCACCGCGGGGAGGAGGGTGCCGGGATTGTCGCCGTCGGGGGTGACGGGAAGCTCAAGTCGGTCACCGGGCTCGGCCTCGTCGCCGACGTGTTCGGTGACCCCGCACGGCTGGCATCGCTCCCCGGGCCAGCCGCCATCGGGCACGTGAGGTACTCCACCGCCGGCGCCGCCGCGTCGCTGCGGAACGTGCAGCCGTTCCTGGCCGGGTACAGGTTCGGGCAGGTCGCCGTCGCGCACAACGGCAACCTCGTCAACTACCAGGCGCTGCGGAACAAGCTGGAGGCGAGGGGCTCCATCTTCAACACCTCGTCGGACACGGAGGTCATCCTCCACCTCATCGCGACGTCGCTGTCGCGGCCACTGCTGTCCCGCATCTGCGACGCGTGCGAGCGCCTCGCGGGGGCCTACTCGCTGCTGTTCCTGACGGCCGATAAGATGTTCGCCGTGCGCGACCCGCACGGGTTCCGCCCGCTGGTGCTCGGCCGCCGCCGCAACGGCACCGTCGCGTTCGCGTCGGAGACTTGCGCGCTGGACCTCATCGAGGCGACCTACGAGCGCGAGGTGGAGCCCGGGGAGGTGGTCGTCGTCGACCGCCGCGACATGTCCGTCTCCTCAGCGTGCCTCGTCCCGCACCGCCCCCGCCGCTCCTGCGTCTTCGAGCACATCTACTTCGCCCTCCCAAACTCCGTCGTCTTCTCGCACGCCGTCCACGAGCGCCGCACCGCCTTCGGCCGCGCGCTCGCGGAGGAGTCCCCCGCCGCGGGCGCCGACGTGGTCATCCCGGTTCCCGACTCGGGGTTCTACGCCGCGCTCGGGTTCGCGCGCGCGTCGGGGCTGGAGTTCCAGCAGGGCCTCATCCGGTGGCACTACAGCGGCCGCAGCTTCATCCAGCCGACGCAGGCGATCCGCGACCTCGCCGTGAAGCTCAAGCTGGCACCGGTCCACGGCGTGATCCGCGGGAAGAGCGTGGTGGTGGTGGACGACTCCCTGGTGCGCGGCACCACCTCGAGCAAGATCGTGCGGCTGCTCCGCGACGCCGGCGCGCGCGAGGTGCACATGCGGATCGCGAGCCCGCCGGTGGTGGGCTCGTGCCTGTACGGCATCGACACGCCCAGCGAGGGGGAGCTCATCTCCAACCGGATGGATCTCGAGGGCGTCCGCCGCGAGATCGGCAGCGACTCGCTCGCCTTCCTCTCGCTCGGCAAGCTCCACAGCATCTACGGCGCCGAGGCGGAGGGCTACTGCGACGCCTGCTTCTCGCGCAACTACCCCGTGCTGCCCACGCTGCCCGAGCCGGTCGTAGAGCTCGAGGAGTGAACTGGTCACACTGGTGAGTGAGTGAGTGATCGAGTAGGTCAGCTCTGCTCTGCTATGCTCTACGGCTTCTCTGCATCCGTCGTAATGTTAGGCAATGGATCAGAATTTGTATGGACATGGAATTTTGGTGCTACTACTACTTCAGTATATTTGATCAGGGCAATTTTTATCCGGTGTTGAATTACTATTTCGAGAGGGGATAAAGGGATAAAGCTCCAGTGTCTGTTTGAGGGATCCGGCTCCTCTGCCTTTGTAGGCATCAGAGGATCCAAATCCCTGTTTGAGTGTATGTTTAGCTCCAGTGCTTTACACGTTTTATGCTGTGGTGGCTTGAGAGTCGAGAACATCAGATGCTTGTGTGCCTTGAGCTACTGGCAGTTATTATCCCATCAATTTCTGAGACTTTGCCATGATTGAAGGAGTCTCCACGCGATTTTTAAAATCTTACTAATGCTGAACTTTCCACGATTTAAGACTTCTTTTGACCCATGAACAATTTGTTTGGGACACAGCTTTCAGCCAAAAGAGTTCTTTTCGTGCTTTATGCTTCCTGCCGGATCCTGTTCTCTCAGTTGAGAGAGGCAGAGACCACTTCTGTTGTCCTGCATTCCTGCTAGTAGATCCCTTCTGTTGCTGCTGCGAGAGCAATTCATCGTATCATCGAACTGGGAATAAGATAGTTTCAAGATAAAAATGTTAGGACATATTTGATGCCAGTAACAAGTAAATTGGTGCCACGAATGTTTCAGAGGCTTTTCCGATGGTCCATGACTCCCAGGAGGCGCCACGCTAGTGTTCGTTCTAACTTTAAAAAAGCACACTTGAGGGAAGACATTGACGAACTCGAGGGATTCTGCTGCACCACTTCGCAGATAGTAGAAAAGAAAATGCCATCAAATCCAAGAATCAAGATTCATGTTGTGTGCCCGTGTTTTTTAGTTTGTAGCCATTGGACTTGCTTGTCCATATGTACTTCTTTTTTCCCCTAAGACGGGCTATATCACGTTCCTCGGTATTTGCTTGAACGTGGCGACACCATGCTCTGCCCATGGCCATGCTTTACGAGAATCATCACCTAGTTTGGTGGTTCGCTGCAGTTTTAACTTTTCACCACTAAAACTGTCACATGGCGAGGGCACAAATGCATTGGTCAAATTAGGCCGATTAGTTGTTCAACATAATTATCTGAATGGTTTTTTTTTATCTCCGGACCAATCCAAGGGATAGAAGATGTGCTTGTACTACGGTTTAAAGGGCGGACCACCAAGAGTGCAGGCAATGAATTTCGATTCTCACTTCTTTATTTGTAACTAGAAGGAAAATAAAGGTAAAGAGGGAATTTTACACCAATATTTTACCCCTGGCATTGCCATTATACTGTTATAACCATGCTGAATTCAGCAGGTTAATATACATCTATACAAGCGCATTGCGTGCATCGATCCATGGATCATTGAACATCGACAACCTTTCTCCTGTAAATATAAGACATCGAAAAATATACGTAAGCAAGAAGATCCAGCACGGTGAGCGCGGCAAGAAGCAGGTAGAAGTAGTCGAGATGTCCCCGGTTGAGGTCGTCGTCGAACCAGCTGGTGCCGCCGTCCCTCCTCGTGACGACGTCGATGGCCGAGATGAGGAAGCTGCTGATGAAGCTGCCGACGCCGAGGACGCTCAGGTAGAGCGCGAGGCCGAGGCTCTTGAGCGCGCCGGGCACCTGGTCGTAGAAGAACTCCTGCATCCCGACCATGGCGAACACGTCCGCCGCGCCGAACAGCACGTACTGCGGCACCATCCACCACAGGCTCATCGGCACCGCCGCGCCGGGGTCGGCGTCCCTCGCCGCGCTCAGCCGCCTCATCTCGACGAGCGCGGCGACCAGCAGCGTCACCGCGCACATCGCGATGCCCGCGCCGATCCGCTGCAGCATGGTGATCCCGGTGGCGACGCCGGTGGCCCTGCGCGCCGCGGGCACCAGGACGTGCTCGTAGAGCAGCACGCAGGGGATGATGCTGACGCCAAGGAAGCTCTGCAGCGCCGCGGGTGGCACCTGGAACGACGACGACGGCCCGATCCTCCGGTCCAGCGTCGCCGCCTGCTTCGTGAACAGCGTCGGCGGCTGCGCGAACAGCACGCCGTAGAGCAGGCACGTCGCCCATATCGGGAACAGCCTCGCCATCCCCCTCACCTCCTCCGCGAGCTCGCCGTGCTCCGCCTCAACCGTGGCGCCGCCGCCGCCGCCGCCTTCTCCTCGCCGCCGGCTCTTCCTCCACGCCCTGACGGCCTCGCCGACGCCGGAGAACGCGCCGGAGCCGCCGCCGTCGTAGAACCGGTACGTCCTCGTCCCGAGCAGGAACACCAGGAGCCCGAGCAGCATCACCATGCCCGGCACGCCGAAGCCGAGGCCCCAGCCGACGTTGTCCTGCACGTAGCTCATCACCGCCGCCGTGACGGTCGCGCTGGCGCAGAGCCCGAGGTACCACCAGTTGAAGAAGGTGCTCCGCGACGACGACTCGCCGGGGTCCGTCGCGTCGAACTGGTCGGCGCCGAACGCCTGGACGCACGGCTTGTGGCCGCTCTGGGCGATGGCCACCAAATAGAGAGAGACGTAGAAGAAGGCCCTCTGCACGGAGGAAGACCGGCAAACTTGCCGGCCATCGCCGGAGGAGCTGCATTGTTGGCTCTGAGGCGACGAGAACGTGGACGACAACGCTAGCAAGCCCAGTCCCTGCCGTTGTTTGGCCATGGTGAATAGGTGAGCGCAGTTTGCGAGATCAAATATATTTAGGTCCTGTTCCGAGGAATTTTCTCATGCAAAACCGTAATTGTAACGTCGGTATTTTACCGGATTCAAACAAGAATTGAACTGGGATGCAAAGTTTTAGTGTATCACATCAGGTATTATATAGGGTGTCACATAGGGTGTTTGGGCACTAATAAAAAAAACTAATTATAGTATGTCGGTTATAGATGGCCATATGGCCCGAGGCCCACGGCCTGGCACGAAGCCCGCAATTTTGGCCCGGCCCAAGCACGGCCCGGCCCGACTAGGGTCGTGCCCGTGCCGGCCCGGCCCGATAGCTGGGCCGTGCCTGGGCTGCACCCTCGGCACGGTGGGCCGGCCCGGCACGGCCCGATCAAATAAAAAAAATATAGGGACAAAAAATAGACTTATATAACCGTATAAGGCATGGCCCAAGAAAATAGGTATACAAAATAGACTTATTTTCCAGCCATTTAAACACAACCCACAGAGTTGAGGGATCAAAAATAGACTTATTTCCAGCCATTTAAACACAGCCCACAGAGTTGAGGGACCAAATATAAACTCTTTCTGTGAGGCAGCACAATAGCCCATCGTGCCTTCGGGCCGGCCCGGCACGGCCCGACTAGTATTGGGCCGTGCCTGGGCCGTTTATGCCGCCCGTGGGCTGGCACGGCACGGCCCGGTGCATCGGTCGGGCCGTGCCGGCCCGACAAGCCTCGGCCCAGGCACGGCCGGGCTTGGGCCGTGCCGTGCCGGGCGGCCCAGATGGCCATCTATAATGTCGGTAAACTGCGAGACGAAATTATTAAGCCTAATTAATTCATCATTAGCACATGTTTACTGTAAAAGTACATTGTCAAATCATGTAGCAATTAGGCTAAAAAGATTTGTCTTGCAAATTAGTCGCAATTTGTGCAATTAGTTATTTTTTATCCTATATTTAATACTTTATACATGTGTTCAAACGTTCGATGTGACAGGGTGTAAAATTTTAGGGTGGGATCTAAACAGACACTGATCCATGTGAAATTAATGTGTTCCAAACAGACACTGAGCTGAAGAACTTCAATTGCAATGGGCAGGTACATAAATATTTTCTGCAAGACGCGGTGTGATCCTATCACTAAACAGTAAACACAATGGCATGAAAGATTATTGATGTGGCTGGCTCTACTACCCTGTTCCTTCGAAAATAGACTACTAGCTAAATTGAAAGCAACAACCCTATTATTGGTAGAAAACAATATTTGGAGACTAGTATGCAAATAAACACATGCCTGATACGTCCTCTCACTCCACTGAACGTGTTGAGCATGATCACTACCGGCCACTGGAAACTACACGACCCAGGCTATAAATTAAGGGACAATTAAATTAACCAATTGAAACTGAAACTTCTCCCGGGACGTCAGGAAATGCTGTTTACGTGCAACAATATCAACTGAAAAACCATGCCCATTTGACTTGGGCGTAATAAGATAGCAGCTGCACGCAAAGTCTTGTTAAATTCAGTAAATCACAATTCAGAACGGGTTCGCTTGGACTTGCGTGTAAAGTCACTTTCCATCCGCAGCGCAGCGTAAACGGAAAATGCTTCCAACTAACCGCGTGCGGATAATGCCATTGCGTGGGAGATCTCTCAAATCCTTTTTTTTTTAAGAGAAGGGTATTTTTTAACTGGCATCTACGTCCAACCAGATATATACGACCATTGAAATAAAAAACTTAGCCCCACAAATAACCCAATTTAAAATTAGCTGCATAGAAGATTTGAACTTAGGATCTTTGGAATACTACTCAGGTCACTAGGCGTAACCCTTGATACTATATCGAACTCTGCGCAAGATGGCTAATAAATATTTTTTTAGAATAAACTGATAAATTATGGCAAGGATCACTGTAGAAGTAGGAAATGTACGGAGGAATTGAGCAGGTTGAACAAATAAAACAATAGGTTAAAATGTAGAAGTAGCAAATGTACGGAGGGAATTGAGCAGGTTGAACAAAATCCCCAAAGAAAACGCATCGATGAGATCGAGAACGGAATGGATAAGGCTGGAGGGTACGGTGCTGTTCGGTTAGCATCTGAAACTCAACTGACCGTGATGTAGAGCACGGAGGAGGCGACGATGGTGCGGTACCGGCCGAGCCACGAGTCGGCGACGGCGGCGCCGAGCAGCGGCAGCATCGACGCGGCGCCGGACCACGCGTTCACGGCCGCCGCCGCCGCCGCGGTGGTCTCCCCGAAAGGGCCGGTCAGGTAGCTGATCAGGTTGGACGAGACGCCGTAGTAGGCGAACCGCTCCGCCACCTCCACCCCTAAAAACCAGCGGAGACGATTCAAGCAAAGCTTTCGATCGAGGAGACGCGATCTGGGGTGGCAGCTGTGCTTACAGATTATGAACAGCGCGGACCTCCAGCCGCCGGTGGCGGGGCGGCGGCGTGCGGCGCCGGCGCGGGGGAGGAGGGGATCGGTGGAGCCCGACGCCATGGTTGGCCGATCGAGCACGAGCAGTAGTAGTGGAAGGGGTACTGATTCGGAGGCGTTTGGCGCTTTCTACTGCTTTATTTGGGACTGTCTAGACATATGTCGTGTGATTTTCGAGAAAAAATATTTTTTCTCTCCTTATATTTACATCTAACCATTAAAAAAATATAGAGAAACCGTCCAGGTATAGCTTGTGATTGTATTGGTTAATAGAGTAGTATTTAGTAGAGATTAACACAAATGTTGTATTTATAACTAAAATTACAGTGCTTTATAACTAACATTACATTTGTAAAAACAGTAGATATGGCATGTAAGTGCACTGTAATTTTAATACAAATGCACTGTAAATTTTGGTAACTAGAATATTTGTCGTTTTAGTACAAATGCACTGTTTGAGAAACCGTCCAGGTATCTGAAGTGTTAAATGTTACATTTGTAACAAAAAATTACATTGCTTTATAACTAAAATTACATTTGTAAAAACAATAAATATGGCATGTAAGTGCACCGTAATTTTAAGTACAAATGCACTGTAAATTTTGGTAACTAGAATATTTGTCGTTTTAGTACAAATGCACTGCTTGAGAAACCGTCCAGGTATCTGAAGTGTTAAATGTTGCATTTATAACTAAAATTACAGTGCTTTATAACTAAAATTACATTTGTAAAAATAGTAGATATAGCATGTAGATGCACTGTAATTTTAATAAAAATACACTGTAAATTAAACCATGGTGTTCATATTTTTGCCCGTACTCATCAGTTTATTTGTATTGTTCATTGTGTGCCCGGTAAAGATACTGCTAGGTGGTGCCGCGGTGGTAGGGGGATAAATCATGACCGTCAAATTAAACCATGCCCAAGAGATCCGACGGAAGCAAATTCGGGTGATTTGAGGCAAAAAATCTGTCGTGAGACGTATACCAAAATCGGCTTTATTTTGCAGTGGTTTTGATTGGTTCTTGTCTGGTTGTTGGGCCGACGGGTTTACGTCCAACAGTATCAACTGAAACACGTGCCTCGTGGGCGCGCGAAACGTTTTCTGGCCACAACTGTAGGTGCGCGGTTGTACGCGATTAGCTCCCTGGCGTAATCTCTGTATTTATTACGAGTATTGATTTATAAGTCTTTGGAAAAATTTGCGAAGACACTTAAAGTCCGTGATATTTACTGCAAGATATAAAAACACCTACTCCTTTCGTCCCAAAATATAAACAATATTTAACTTCTACATAGTTTTAAAGATACTATTTTAATTAATAATATCTATAAAAGTAAGATGTTTTAAATAAAAAGAGTTGCATATTATGATATATTTTTAATGATAAATCTAATAACATCATTTTTACATTATTGATTTTATTTATTTTTTCTATTAATAATCAAAGTTAAAAATGTTTGACTTGTCACTATTCTAAAAATGCTTATATTTTGGGATAGAGGGAATATGTGTTACGTGATACCATGAAAATATGGTAATTAGCTGCTGAACATCAAACACATTATTTTATATCCGATATAAATGAAGAAAGAAATAGCGTGGAAAGTACCAATTTGCTCATGCGTCCATCGGTTTGTAAGGTGATTGGGTCTTGTTCGAACCAGATCTAGATGATTCTTACTCCCATGATCGATCTAAGTGGCGGAGCCAACAATTGATCACGTCTAGGGCCGAGCAGAGCTGAGTTGATGTGTTCTTAGCAAAACTCTTTATATCTTCAGCTTTTTACAGTATTTTGCATAAGATTTTAATGGGAATTTGGTCATCAGCCTAGAGCGCAAGCCTTAATTGCCCTACCCTTATCTCCCCCCTGATCGATCCAGTCCATTCTCACTCCTTTGGACAAACTTGTCTTTTCAAAAAGTAGATAATAAAAATAACACGTTCACGGCGTCGAGGGGGGGGGGTGGTACCCACTGACCGTATTCTGAGGGTATTGGGGTACGTTGATATGGGGATCCACATGATACGACATCAAGCACACAGGGAACAAAGAATATACGGGTTCAGACCCCTTGTGAGATAATAGCCCTATTCCAGTTTATATGGGATTATGAAGAAAACCATAGAGTATAATAGAGAACAACATAATCCTGAGATCACCGACGAGATCCCTGTCGAGAACGGCTTGACGAGACCTATCGGCGAGTTGGCTTCAAGTCCTCTGGATTGCTTCTGCTATAGTGGGTGTCTTGCACTAAGATTCTATGCCTTACCCCTTCTGGGGATTCTCTATTTATACCGTATATTATCTTGTTCTTCAAGTATAGCTTGGAGATACATGTCCTCACACGATATCACAAAAATCCTTATATTCTCTGAATAGAACTCTAACACCTTCTATCCGGAGAGACGATTTCCTTATAGATCATCCGATTTCCTCAATTCAGAGGTACCTTCCCATATACTTGAGGGTATAACATATCCGTATATCTCACGACCCCAAGAATAGGAAGTATGCCTTATCCATAACCCTAACACACTTTCTTATAGCTATTCACTATGTTTTCGTGGTAATCCTATAGCAAATACACATTCTTTGAATGTCCTAAAGACCATAAACTTTGAGTGTCTATCTAGTTTTGTAATACTAAGATTTGTCTCATCCGGTTATAGGTTGTTATATTATGAGATGTAGGGTGCCGCTCCGATGCCGTCGTGCTCATTGCTTTCGCCTTCGCCAACTTCCTCAACCTCCTCACCATCTGGTGTGTCGTTCTCCTCGCTTGTCCAACTAGATCTAAGGCGCGCCGACGCGATTTGGGGTAGGGGTGACACTGCACGTCGAGGAGGACAGTGGAGAGTGAAGGGGGTGGCAGGGTGAGACCAAGAGCAAGGGGGTGCGGGCGAGAAAAAACGAGAGAAGGGGTGAGAGCGAAGGGGAAAATGGGCGAAATGATAAGAACGATTGTTGACTTGGGCTAAAAAAAAACCTCTGCCCTATGGATGGCTCGGCTCGGTTATATTAGTGCCTATTTTTTTTATAAAACCGAGACATAATATATTTTTGGTGCCAGTTTTTTAACTGAATGGCACCTATAGTATATTATAGGTGTCTGTTTTTTTTTAAAAAATTGGTATAAATAATATTGGTACTTTTTTTCTTAGAACCAGCATCTACCCATTCTATATTTTTTCACTACGCGAAGGTGAAAAAATGTCAATACGTGTAAATGAAGCAATATCTATAAGCCACTACCTATGAGGGGTTTGTAGTAGTGTAGGCACAAGTTGATATCTATGAAGTACCATATATAATATGTGATTCTGTGATTGGTATCATCCCATCATATAGCAACCCCTAAAATTAATCTTAGTTTCGCATTGGTATTAGACTAGCTCACATCGTGTTTAGATTTATCATAAGTTGTTTTCTGCTACCGTGATAGACTGATAGTCCATATGGTCTTTCCTGAATATTATCGTTGATGTTTATGGTATTACGCAACCCTCCTGCTACACGAAGTAGTCCAAGATGGTCCCGTAATTCTACAAAAAGGAGACACAAAATGTAGGGGCGAGACTCTCTTTTCATTCATTCCTCTATTCACCTCAAGCACAAGTGTGTACAAATGAGCACCCCTCTCCTCCTTATATAGCCTTCCTCCATATATGGAAGGTTTCGGTGTGGGCCCAATTAGTGTATATGGGCTGGGCCTTCATGGGCCCAAGCCCATAGGTTTCCTAACACTCCCCCTTGGGCACTCACCGCGTGATGTCTATGCCTCATTAAAACTCCACAAAAACCCAGTGGGAAAAATTTGGAAAAAGAGTACATAGCATATGCTTGCAATGTTGCACAAATTGCCTCATTAAAAACCTTGATAAGAAACTGCTGGGAAAACTTATCCAAGGGAAAAAGAGTACAATTCACCCAATTCTTCATTCAATCTTTCTAGATTGATTTTGGGTACTTGATTTTCTATATCAAGATTCTGAAATGAGTTAGCGAAATTCTCCCCCTGAATTTTGCATTTCTCTAAGTTTCATTATTCCGATTTCTCAGGCACACCTATTCAAGGGAAGATGTAAATAATGAGTTAGTGGATGAATCTGCAAGACTTCCACATGACTTAGTTCGTTGCTTCTATGCAATTCATGTACATAGAAGAGTTTGGGGGCTCATATGCTTAGTGAGTTTGCTTCTCACATAACTCATATGTGCAACATATGCTACTTTAATTTCATAAATGGTGGGGGTTAAGATAGTTTTCAAATCGCGATTGCTGTCGCGGGTAACCATCTCTCAAAGCCATGCTAAGGCTCTGAGTAGTTCAATGATGCTTAGTTCGGTTTAGTTCAATTAGCCAAGTATTCATGTGCTGCTATGACACTCATGTTTAGGAATTCCGTCCCATTTTGGCGATAATTGACTATTCCAAAGCCATGCACCATGAACATTTCTAAGTGCAGTTGGACTGATGTACTAGACTTCCATCTATCGCATGCCTTTAGCTGCAAGCGTCAGCATGATTTGGATTCAAATATTTCAAATCAAATTCAAATTCAAAACGAACGAGTTTGTTTTCTTCAATTCTTTTCTGGTTTATTCTATTCTTTTATGTTGGTTCGGGACCTAATACTTCTTCATGTACTATTATGCAAGTGTCCAATCCAAACTCCTGAAATGCATTCATTGATTCTATCTTCAACATCTTCAATGCTTGTTAATATTCAGGTTGAGTTCTTCTTTTCAACTTCTAGTTCATTTATTCAACTCCTGGTTGACTACCATTGAGTTTTGTTGTCTAAAGGAGACATTGCCCATAATCAATCTCATTACCAACTTCTATTGGTTTCATGAGACTCTATGCAAGTATCCATGGATATACGAGGAGATGCATTTTTCATATGCTTCTTCTTCTTCTTGCTTAATACTTCTTGATGTGGGCATGTACCAGCGTTAGTGTGCACTCCAACAGCTAGTTTTCTTCCTTGATGGGAAGGTGCGGTACGCCTATTCGGAGGTTCCGTACCGTTTGCCAGATCTCAACTGGCTCCCCTTCTATTTGGTAGGGTACCTTTTGTGACTTTGAGTATGATAGTCCCTTTTGCCCTGTTTTCACCAGACGTCTCCGGTTACTTTAGGGGTGTGAGGATCCGAAGTTTCTT